AAAAAAAAAAAAAAAAAAAAAAAAAAAAAATCTCATTGAGGGCTGGCAAGAAGCCACAGACAGTTCAATGAACAATGTGCAAAGATACAGCAGTTGCCCAATTCTAGGAATAGGCACAATTGGATTTGTGGCTTAACTATTTTCTTATTTGGAACTCGCACACAAAAAAATGATCGTACTGTTGTGATTCCTTAGTCTGGATATTTTATTCGGAAATTATCCTGATACTCAAGAAAGTTCACAGCTACTAACTCTCAGATCCAGCTGGAATGTTCTTCTCACCTCCAGACACACAGATCCAGCTGTCACCTGTTCACCCTCCAGGTACCTCACACTGACATGACCATTTCCCCTCACCCCAAATCCACACTCCCTGTCTCCTCGAATGTCACCACCATCTGTCAGTGACCCAAGCAGGAAACATCTGAATAAACGCCAACCCCTCCTCTCCCTCTGTCTCCACAGCATCCTTAATGTTCCCTGGAACCCGCTCCACTCTCCCCCTGCCCTGGCCTTGTCTGCTTTCTCCTGGACTCTAACAATGGGGTCTCCCGCCTCTGGCCTTTCCTATCCACAGACCCATCCTCCACATGGCACCTGCAGTGCCCTTTTAAAGCAGACCTGGCTAGGATGCGCACTTCCTACAGTTCTTTGTGGTTCCTGAGTGCCTACATGATAAAGTTCATACTCCTCCCTCTGGCACGCAAGGCCCTGCCTGATTTCCTCTCTGCCCTCCTTATTTCTTGTCATTGCCTTAGACACACTGTACCCTTCAAGGCCTTGACCTCTGCTGCCGCCCCAGTCATGGCCTGGCCTGGACATAGAGACCCGTGCTTGCTGGACGCCCATCCCCCTTCCACACTCAGTGCCTGTCTCTGCACCTGCAGCTCACCTTGCTTTCCTGTCTCTTGTCCTGCGCATAGCGGATGAGGGGCCAGGCGTAACCCTTTCCACCTGTGTGTCCATTCCAGAGACAGAACCCTTGTAATAGGGAACAACAAATCTGACTCCACATTGAATCTGTTACTTTTACCTTTGTGTTCTCTTGCTTTTGCTACAAGTTAATCACTAAAGGGTTGTTGCCTATAAGCCTAAATGATACATAATGGCCGTCTCTGGGTCCCATCTGATGTGTGTTAAGGTAAAATACCTTTGTTTAGCTCACAGGAAGCCTCCTGACTAGGCCCACCTGTGAATGGCTGCTGGCAGGAAGAAATTAACACATCCCCTGTGGAGTCTGACCGTAACCAGGACTTTACCCCCTCCCCTTTTAGTATAAAAGAAGCCTGAATTCTAACTCCAGGAAGATGGTTCTTTGGGACACTAGGCCACCATCTTCTCAGTCTGCTGATTTTCTGAATAAAGGCGCTATTCCTTGCCCCAACAACTTGTCTCTCTATTTATTGTCCTGTCGTGCGGCAAGCAGTACAAGCTTGGACCTGGTAACACCCTGAGCGCGGTGTGAAAGGCCAGTAAGTACTGCCCAGCTGGCTAAGAGATCCAGGAAAAGAAGAGCCACATCCCATGGTGCTGAGCTCAATACCAAGGCCATTTTCTACTCTTTTCTTTTCTTTATTAAATGGTCTCGTCCCCAGAGCTCCCACTTCCAAGCACACCATCAGTCACCAAGCTGGGCTGCCTTGGTATCTTCATACCTGCTTGCCTCAGCCTTTGAAGACTTTCCCAGCCCCGGCTGCCTGGCACATTTCTGTTCCACTTTCAGAACCAGTTCAGCTGCTCCCTTGACCGTGCTGAAGACTGTCTTTCATGTCCCACTCCTGCCCCTTGGGACTTCTTTACTCCTCTCATCAACTGCGCTGCACTTGCTTACACGCCAATCCCTCTCACTGTTTTGTGAGCTCATTGAAGGCAAGGGCCACATCTTATTCAACTCTATTTCTATAGGACCTGGCACGTATTAGGGTCTTCGGAAATGTTTCACTGAACTTGTTGAATTGGGAAAGTTTGCTTTTAACAGCAAGGTAAGCTTCAAATAAAACATCAAGGTTATGATGCTTTGTACCCACCCCATAAGCTCGTTTAAATGGGAAAGAGGTTCCAGAGAGAAACAGCATACTTGACGGCCCTACCAAAATGGTCTTTTCTTTATGCTGGTCCAAGGAGCCAGCCTCCAAGAAAGAGAACACCCTTGTGTGAATAAAAGGTTCTGTAAGTTCTGTTCATGGTTCTTTCTAAGTGGGTCTCAAAGCGAGGACAGGCAGAACCAGAGAAGCGCAAAGGAAAACCTCTTCTAAAGTTCAACCATGTGGACAGGTCGGCGAAGCAAATGCTCCCTCCTACAAAGAGGAGGGACCTTATTCCTCCGGAGAAGCACCGCATTCCCAGGGGGAGTGGGATGGAGTGGGTGCAACTTCCCTTCAGCTAAACTGGTTTTATCATCACCTCCTTGAGTTTAAGACTGTAAATAAAAGTCAGGTGGTTACACTTCAGATGAAATAAAATGTTTTCACATTAAGGTTATAGGAAGAAAGATGAGAAAAAAAGCGGCACTGTTACTGGAAATTAGCTCTTAAATTCCTGGATAAGTGGCAATCACTAACTTTAAAAGCACTCATTAAGTTTTTGTTAAAGAAAAGATTTGGAAATACACAGTTTGAATACACTCCATGACAAAGAAAAAGGCTGAGAACTCTTCAATCAACAGAACCATCCCACTTTCATGATCTCATTTGCTCTTCACAAAACATGTGCAGTACACTGTTATTTTTATACCCCTCTTCCAGACGGAGAAACTGAGGCGCAACAAGGCGAAACAGCTCTTTGCCCTGGCTGAACTGGAATTACACATCAGTTCTCCTAAGCAGGGCTGTTTCCATCTTGCTGCCCTATTATTCCAAAGCACATCATGGTTCACATTGGGGCTTACCAACTCCAAAGGACTGTTATTTATTTTTTGTTTTTAAATAGTTTTTAAAAAATTATAATAGTAATTCATGGTCTTTGTAAGCATTCTGAGAACTGTATAAAGGAATCAGAATCATTTGTAATCCCACAATTCAGGGATAAACACTACTAATGTTTTGATTTTTTATCTATGTTTACAAGTTAGGATCACATCCTGGGTAGTTCAAATCCTTTTTTTTTACACTTTACATTATATCATAAGTGTCTTCCCGTGGCATTAACTATGTTTTCATGAGCATAATCTCTCATGGACATATAATATTCCATATTATGCCTGAACCATAATTTAATTGGCCATTCCCTGTCAGTCAGATATTGTCTACATGGCTCATCTTTGACTATATAGAGTCTGGGAGCCAGTCCCCTAAGCCACGTGCTCCCTCCCAGAAACATAACATGTTAACAGCTAGCAGCAGCCTTGGAGATCATTCTGTCCAACGATGTCCTCTATTTTCTTTTATTGTGGTCTACTGTACGTAACATAAAATTCACCATTTTAACCATTTTAAAGCATGCAACGTTGTGTAACCACCACCTCTATCTAGTTCCTAACCTTTCCACAATGACGTCATTTTAGAGAAGAAATGACTCCCAGGTAGATAGGACATTAGCACCAGTGGGTCATCTGACTGGCAGATCATCCAAGGGGGTGGCCGTAGCTTGGGTTACCTGATGAGGGGGACCTCACCACCTCCAGGGCACCTCTCAGGCTGGGAAGGTTTTCTGGATGGCACATCAGAGGCTGTTCTCCCTCTGGTGTCCATAGCCCACATCCCAACCCACCCTCAGAGCCTCACAGGATGGGTTTGTCTTCTCTTCTCCGTGACAGCCTCTCACATTTCTTACTGGATGACTACCATTCCCCTTCCTTCCTGAATCCCAATTAATAACCTCAGGATGAAAAGGGCCCTCAAAGCCACAGATATTTTCATGGACTCAAAACCACAAATTCAGGCAGAAGTGGTTTTACTCAACTGGAAGAAGGCAGTAAAGATATAGCTGATATATAAGAGGAAATAAAACAAGGAGAAATGGTTATTCTGCTAGAGATAATTCCAATTATCACACTGAGATCCAAGTTATCACAAATACTGTAAAATCCTGTTTTTACCTAATAGCATTTTAATGGAAAAGTCAGACTTATGAAATAGAAGTGACTGGTAAACAAAATATAAATCAAGTTTACTTGGGGCCCTTTGGGG